AACATTAACCCCTGAAATAACATATATTTACATTATTTGCATATAGTAAACTTGTAACAAAATCAAATGAACATCATTATTGCTTTCCTGTTGTCTTCCTTTTCTACAGTTTTCTAGGTATAATTTAAAATACTAATTTTGAACAGGGTGAGTCTAAAAAAGTGTGATTAGTGGCGTCTTGGGCAAAATTAGCAAAAATTTTTTCTTCTTTGTTTTAAAATGTAAACAAAAGAACATGTTCACAATTTAAATAGAAGATGGGCGCGAAGCGCCCTTAAAGCCTAGTGTTATAAAAATACACTGTTCAGTTGAAAACTGGGGAGCCTTTGAAAAACAACTTTTCCTTAAAAATTAGTCCCAAATTATAAATTGTGAATTTTCTTATTACAATTTTGCAAAGGAATTGAGTTTTTGCTACAACCTCAAATATTATAATCCCTCTATTCTTGCAACCGAAAGGATTGAACCTTTGATATTTCAAATTTAAACTAATTAATCTGACAAAATTTATAGTTTGAAATATGAAAGGTTTAAAGCTTTGGGATGCAGAGATTTAGCGACTAAAAAAATCAGAGTTTGTGGCCAAAACTCAATTCCTTTTCAGTGACTCTGTGTTTCAATATTCAGAAAATTTTAGAATTTGATAGAAATAAAATGAATACACATTTTTGCTTTTCTAAACTTTTGATTTTGAGAGGAAAAAAGTTTCAAGGTTTTTTTTGTGTCCAAAATTATTTTTAATATTTTGAAAAAAAATGTCCTGGGAACTTGTAAGTACATGCAGATTATAATGGTAAACTCCGTGCAAATGAAAGCACTCGAGAGTATCGTTGTGCATCGGAAATCATGACATGCCAATATAAAATGAAAAGCACTAGAATTTAAATAATGGATGAACTGTGAAAAAAATGAAAGAGGAAAGATAAAAAGAAACAAAAATTAATGATATTTCAAAGTCTTATAAAGAACAAGCGTCTAGAGGCAGAATTTTAAGAATTTAAGACGCGGCTCAAACATAGTTGGTTTCTTCCACTTGAAATTGTATTAAGTGTTTTGAGATTTGAGCCGGCGCTCAATTGGAACCGGTTTTTGGCGGTTCAGTGATGTGATTTAAATTCTTAAAATTAGGCCTTAGGTTAAAAAGATTACCATAAATGAGCTGATCAAAAATGTTAAAGAATGAATTTGTAAAATAAAAGTTGATATATTATGGAGAAAACGAAAGATCTAGAAGGAATAAGATTATATGAAAAGTATTCATGTCTTCTATGATTTATGATTGAATTATTATTGAATGGATTTTCTAGAGAAAGACTATATTTGAGTGAAAACATTAATTCACAGGATGGGAAGCTCGGAGGGGGGGGGGGGGGGGGG